ATGTGTTTTGAGTGGTTGCTAGGGTGTTTTTCTATGGTTGCTAATGTGTTTTGAGTGGTTGCTAGGGTGTTTCTGTATAGTTGCTAATGTGTTTTTAGTGGTTGCTAGGGTGTTTTTCTATGGTTGCTAATGTGTTTTGAGTGGTTGCTAGGGTGTTTCTGTATGGTTGCTAATGTGTTTTGAGTGGTTGCTAGGGTGTTTCTGTATGGTTGCTAATGTGTTTTGAGTGGTTGCTAGGGTGTTTCTGTATAGTTGCTAATGTGTTTTGAGTGGTTGCTAGGGTGTTTCTGTATGGTTGCTAATGTGCTTTGAGTGGTTGCTAGGGTGTTTTTCTATGGTTGCTAATGTGTTTTGAGTGGTTGCTAGGGTGTTTCTGCATATGGTTGCTAATGTGTTTTGAGGGGTTGCTAGTGTGTTTCTGTATGGTTGCTAATGTGTTTTGAGGGGTTGCTAGTGTGTTTCTGTATGGTTGCTAATGTGTTTTGAGGGGTTGCTAGTGTGTTTCTGTATTTTTATTTATTTTATTTATTTACTTTATTTATTTATACAGGGACAATGTACAACATGACATGTTGTGCCAGAGTTAGCTATAAAGCTAATTTACATCTGTAGTCCCTGGGCAGGAAGTAACAAATTTAACACTTATAACAAATACAATATACACTTACAGTACAATAAATACAATACATCATTGTCAATAAAATGCTAATTAGCAAAAAGTTGCTAATGTGTTTTTAGTGGTTGCTAGGGTGTGTCTATGGTTGCTAATGTGTTTTGAGTGGTTGCTAGGGTTTTCTCTATGGTTGCTAATGTGTTTTGAGTGGTTGCTAGGGTGTTTCTGTATAGTTGCTAATGTGCTTTGAGTGGTTGCTAGGGTGTTTCTGTATAGTTGCTAATGTGTTTTAAGTGGTTGCTAGGGTGTTTCTGTATAGTTGCTAATGTGTTTTGAGAGGTTGCTAGGGTGTTTCTGTATGGTTGCTAATGTGTTTTGAGTGGTTGCTAGGGTGTTTCTGTATGGTTGCTAATGTGTTTTGAGTGGTTGCTAGGGTGTTTCTGTATGGTTGCTAATGTGTTTTGAGTGGTTGCTAGGGTGTTTCTGTATAGTTGCTAATGTGTTTTGAGTGGCTGCTAGGGTGTTTCTGTATGGTTGCTAATGTGTTTTGAGTGGTTGCTAGGGTGTTTCTGTATAGTTGCTAATGTGTTTTGAGTGGTTGCTAGGGTGTTTCTGTATATTTGGTAATGGTTGCTAATGTGTTTTGAGTGGTTGCTAGGGTGTTTCTGTATGGTTGCTAATGTGTTTTGAGTGGTTGCTAGGGTGTTTCTGTATAGTTGCTAATGTGTTTTGAGTGGTTGCTAGGGTGTTTCTGTATGGTTGCTAATGTGTTTTGAGTGGTTGCTAGGGTGTTTCTGTATGGTTGCTAATGTGTTTTGAGTGGTTGCTAGGATGTTTCTGTATGGTTGCTCATAATGTGTTTTGAGTGGTTGCTAGGGTGTTTCCACTGATAATAATTGGTTTCTAAGTATTGAATAGGTCTTATTAGCTGTTCAGCAGCAGTTGTTTTGAGTCTACAGTGTTTCTGCTGGAGGATGTGCTCTGTGTGGTTTTGCTTGACACTGAATATACACAGTGTTAATACAGTAGAGCAGAAGCACACTGACATAGATCACATCTGGTCATTTCCCCGAGAACAGAAAGGTCATGTAGCGCGTGCTGAATTG